TAATGCTTGCTTATACGAGAAATGCTAGATCAGTAGCAACTCGAGGTATCATAGCGTCTGTTTTGATGATTGTTCAATGAAAATAAAACAATTAAAACTTATATTCCATCCTTTTTGAAAATAGGAGAGATCAAAATGATCGACCATATTCACAAAGCATCAATAACTTTTGTGACGTCATCAAAATAAACCCCATGTATTATTATTTTTTTTTCTCGAAAAATAGGATCAGACGCCATGACACCTCCTCGGGCTGCTACTGATCTAGCCTTTCCCTTGCATATACTCTAGCTAGGTTCCTCTGAATCTACAGCTTTAAGACAATAAAAAAACAGCAAGACTACAAAGAAAATGCATACATTAAAAGCGTGTGTATGAAGAGAACAGACTTAAGAGAAAGAAAAAGAAAAAAAAGTTGGATAAAGACAGTGAAGGGAGTACTCACGCCTGCACCACGAAGCCGCCGCCATTGTTGTTGTTGTTGTTGTCTCCAAATGATAAGCTGTTGGGCAGAAGATGTTACATTACCTCACAAACATCTAAAAAAGGGAGTCATGTGGCATGGGAACGCCTGCTTTGGGGAGTAACGGTTCTGTGCCTTGTTTACACTTTGATACGGTCATGTTTCACGTCTGACTTTCAAATTTTAACGGCGTTTGATGGTTTTCTCTCGTGAAAGGCAAACCATTGCAGGCATCAACCGGTAATGAGAGAATAAAAGTCACATTGCTATCTAGAAACAGCTGTTTTAGTACATGGGTAATGGCGCTTGATTATATACGTGATGCAACATTTTCCCATAGATTTTATTCCGAGGATTCAAAAGTATCTACATTAACTGCTGCCTGGTATAAAGTGGCAAAGAAATTAATAGTCGTTTGCAATTCGAACCACAATTACTAAATCAACCACACGTACTCTCAGAGACACTTGATAAGCTCTCCATACTACCTTCAACTTTCTAAATAAGGTTAAACGTACTTTCTACCACCTCTTGTACACAGAACCATGAACAAACGATGATATTCTATTCCTTAATGTCCAACAGTGTATCTCTTCTCTCATTTAACACCATTAAGAAAACCCTAAACACTTACCCTTCGTCTAATGAAATCCACAAAAAAGTATTTTTCTGCTCTCAAACTAAAATATCCACGTACACTGTTACAGATTGTGTATATCATCGTGGTGTATTGTAGTATATAATCACCAAAAGACTCTCGCTGTAGAGAAACCACGTCCTGCGGCTTCCTTTATTGCCTGGGGGCGCCTACTTAAATTGATCTTTCCTCTCTCTCTCTCTCTGCGCCCACGGCTTGAGGTTGGCTGTTATGCATTCCGCCATACTCGGCACGGGAAGTACATACACACGCACATATATATATCAACAACACACACATATATGTATGTATGTATGCATTTATGTATGAATACACACACACACACACACACACATGCACACACGCCCACACACACATATAATATACATATATATATATATATATTATATATATATATATATATATATATATATAATATATATATATATATATATATATATATATATATATATATATATAATATAAACACATATCTGTGTATGTGTGTATATAGACTCACACACCTAAAAGCACACACACAAACACACACAAGTGCCTGTTCTAGTGGTCGTGCTCCGTGCAACCGTGCTCACCTGGGCGGCCCGTACTGCTGCGCCACCTGGCGGATTTCCCTCCTGAGCAGGTCCCCGGGGATGGAAATGACCTCATACTCCACCTGCGAAGGAAACGCGACAGGGGAGTGAGCGGTTTCGAAAGGAAAATCTGGTCGTTCATGCTAATACGCGACCTGTGCAGATTCGTGCAGCTAAGAGTGTTTGTTATCTCGTTCTTTATCGTTCTTTCTTTTCTTTTCTTTCTCGTTCTCTTCCCCTCTCACTCTCCTTTCTCCTCTATCTCTGTCATTCTTGTCATCTCTTCTACTCTCTCTCTCTCTCTCTCTCTCTCTCTCTCTCTCTCTCTCTCTCTCTCTCTCTCTCTCTCTCTCTCTCTCTCTCTCTCTCTCTCTCTCTCTCTCTCTCTCTCCTCCCTTCCTCCCTCACTCTCTCTCTCTCTCTATCTTCTGTCTTTGTCTTCCTCTCCCTCCCTCCCTCCCCCCTCTCTCTCTTCTCCTGTCTTTGTCTCCCTCTCCCTCCCTCCTTCCTCTCCTCTCTCTCTCTCTCTCTCTCTCTCTCTCTCTCTCTCTCTCTCTCTCTCTCTCTCTCTCTCTCTCTCTATATATATATATATATATATATTATATATATATATATATATATATCAATAACACACTTTCTCTGACTCCCTCCCTCGTATCTCCTCTTACATGTATCTGGCTCTTCCCCTTCCCTCCCCTCAGGGATAAACCGCAGTTGAGTTCAGTTTAATTCAGTGAAACCTCCGAAGGCATTTGACCCAGGAAAAGAAAAACGCCGGCACCAACCTCCCTCTTGAGGTCCTGTCCCGACCGCTCGTGGTCGTCCAGCGGCAGCGTCGGCACCAGCACCAGCAGGCTGTCCTCCGACACTTCGTTGAGGGCGTTCTCCTCCGGCTCCGACACGGGCAGAGGCTTTCCCGACGCCGACCACGCCACCGCCAGCACCACAGCCAGCACCGCCTGCGCTCTGTATTGCCTCATTCTGGAAAAGAAGGATATGGGAGGCTGTTTAGAATCTCCTTCGTCGGGTAAGGGGAAGGTCGGTTGTGGCGTGAAGGACGGAGCTGACTTTGTATTTATGTATATGTGGTCTTTCGTCGTGTAAACAGAAACCCTCTCATGCACTAGGAAAGGTTTCGGTTGTTGAGAGAAGCGCCGTTCTTTCAGATTACTTTCCCCTGGGGCTTCGCTTTCCCTTGAAGTGACCTGCAATGATTCTTCTTTGCCATGACTAAACAAAAGCTTTTTTTTATCTTTCATGTAAAAAAATATAAAAAAGATCCTGTTATCTCTTTGCTTTCAATAAAACAGTTAAGATGTCCGTTTCAAAAAGCCTTTCAACGCAGCAGAAATGAGAATGCAACAGTAATCATGACATATTATTCGACTGAACATAACATCTCTTCTTTCAAAATCACTGCTTTCTCCCCCGAGCCTTCTGAAGTCCCTCGCAACCACCACAAAAAAAAAAAAAAACTTTCCCTCATGGGCACTGCCTGACTTTCCCCTGTGACGACCTAGTCTGACCCGTTTTTTCACTTTCCCTTATATGGTGAATGTCGATCTACTGGGGAGGACGATAGGAAAGGTTAAGGCAGTCATTTCAATTGCAAGATATATTACTTACACTGATTGGTAAACCTCTATTAGTAACGCTTGATTAAGACGTCTCTATCACAAAGATATATTGGTACGTATCATGACTAGTTATAAGTACTAGTTTATCCGAAAGTCAAACACGATTACTGATGGCTGTTCCGGTGATTAGAGTTCACTTTTCCAATACGTGAGCGGATCTCGAGCCCTTTGCACATCCTTCTCATAATCACGCAGATAATAGAGCGTGAAAGGAAACAATGTAAGACGTGTTAGAGAGTCCGCGCGCCCTCACTTCAGCCAGGCAGACAATGGAGGTTGATGTTCACTGTCACGTCCCACTGTCATGGCTGTCACGGTCACGGCGAATATCGTGGCTTTGGAACTACGGTTTGAACAATAACTATTGCGAATTCTTAGTAAAAAAACAACAACGAAAAAACGGGTTATTGACGCTTACTCACAGGGAATGGATAATGCATCACGCATGAGATATTTCATAATGAAGACGCTTAATATCTTATTATCAAGACGTATGAGACCGACATATCAATCTGTGACCAAGAACTCATATTAAGTGTCCTGCTGCTACTTTCACTGCCGCTTTTCGTGAGATAAATAATGATAATGATAACAGGAACTTGCTGATCCCACAACGGAGAAAGGACTGATAACTGGCCCCGTTATGGCGCGTGCCTCAGGCGAGCCCACAGGTTAATGCCCTTTTTCACAACCCAAGTATTAAGTACCAAGTTGGGCTCATTTTTCTTATTGTCTTTGAGGTATTAAAGTTGTCTTAAACAGGTTCGCTTACTGCTCCTGCTGCTCCTGGTGATGCCTGCTGTTCGAGAGGTTACAAAGATCATACAATTTTCAGGAAGTAATCTTTGTACGTTTTAGTCTGGTTAAATAGAATGACTCAGGTAGACTAAATAATTAGATAGCGTTGTTACTTACATTTTATACTATAGTAAGATCTAAAGCGAGTAATTTTAAAGAATTATTTACGTCAATCCTAATAGTCTACTGACATCACTGTTTGGATGCGTATGTTAGTCTTGGCGTGAAATAGGTTTAATGAAAAAGTGTTCGGTATGGTTAGAACACAGTCAGCGTTAGTAATATTAAATAAAACACCGAAACAATTGTACTAGCTGACTGCATTGCATCCCAGATATATCTATAAAAAAAGTAATAGTACTCGTGCACATGTGAATCTCATCTGTTACACAATTAAGCAACTCGTTCAGTGACCAATATCATTTTTTTTAACCCTGACTGACTCTCACTCTCTAATTCACCGCATGGCTTAGCGTCTGACGGTGTTTGTGTAATGGTGAACAAAACATAGGTTGAAACTATATTGGTTGAACAGAAATTTATTGACAATATTCAGCAAATGACGCAATGCTTTGGTTTACAGAAAGTAGAGGAAGAAATAAGGAGGCAGAGAGAGAGAGAGAGAGAGAGAGAGAGATAGAGAGAGAGAGAGAGAGAGAGAGAGAGAGAGAGAGGGAGGAGGGAGGGAGGGAGGGAGGGAGGGAGGGAGGGAGGGAGGGGAGGAGGGAGGGAGGGAAGAGAGGGAGATATAGATAGATAGATAGAGTAGATAGATAGATAGAGATAGATAGATAGATAGATAGATAGATAGAAAGAGGGGGGAAGAGAGAGAAAAAGGGAAAGAGAGGGAAAGAAGGAGAGAGAGGGAA